ATTGACAGTAAATACAGAGAATATGATTGCAATGAAAACAGGGATAAAAAGCAAAGAAAAATCTCTAATAGTAATAGATTTCTGGTATTTATTAATTAGGTTTTTACACCGAGATTATATCAACAATTTTAGGAGTATATGCAAACAATTGCTAATTTTCATCGGAGTCAATATATTTGTCGTAAAGTGTTTTAATGAAAATATCGGTCAACTCGACGGATGTCTACCGCATTGGACACAATCCCAGAACCAGACATGTATTGAGATTGAGGATCAAAAAGTGATTTTAAACCAAAACCAAACGTATATTTTCATTTCAATAATGATTGCCCTATGGATTCAAATCACGAGTGTTTGCAATAGTTATGGCAATGATATGAGAATATTTTTGTCCGAATTTAATAATCGTAAGTTTGTTTGATTGTAACTTTTTTTTATATATTGTCAGTATAATAATATAAGCATGCATAATTAATAATATATTCTTAATTAAATTTAGGTTGGTATAATTGCATTTGGTATTTCTATGCCAAGTTCCTATCGGATTCCTTATTATCACTATTAGATTCATTAAGTTTTGTAATCATTTTGCAATATTATACACAAATGCTCATAGATGAGCACCGGGTGTATAAATTGCTATTCATGACATTCATGTCATTCCTGTGCACCCAAGCATTGGCCTCCACACTGGGCATAATATTAGCTGAGATCCAAAATGCGGCACTATTTACCTCGATATTTGTAGCAAATATTCTGCTCGCTTACAGTAATTACTTTTTCAAGACCAATGAATTGGCGATTATTTTTAAAATGTTGAGTCAATTGGATTATTACATGTATTTATTCAATTCAATGCTTATATTGATATATGGCTTCAATCGGTGCCCAAACGGAGCCAATAATAAAGTTCTCATTGAATTTGGTCTGGAAAATGAGCCAGATGAGTTATATTATACATATTCAAGATGGATTACTTATTACTATGCTGTGCTTATGTGTTGTGAATTTGTTGTATTTTGGATCAAAACTCGCAATTTGTCTATTATTTTGCCGATATTTTTGTTAAGACATAATAATAATAAGCATTTAATAGATGGTAATAATGTGGTGAACGTAGAGATGAGTCCAGAATATTCAGTCACATCTAATGGCAGTCATAATGACCCTGAACATAAACCATTTATGGTGTGGACTGACCTTTCATACACTGTTAAGAGAAGTATATTTAGCAGAAAAAAGTTGATAATATTGGATAAAATCAGTGGTAGTGTTGCCAGTGATTCACTCAATGGTTTGATGGGACCGTCCGGTGCGGGAAAGACTACTTTATTGAAGTGTTTGAACGGACAGAGTATGAGTGGATTGAGCGACGAGTCGACAATTGATATATGGCTTCAATCGGTGCCCAAACGGAGCCAATAATAAAGTTCTCATTGAATTTGGTCTGGAAAATGAGCCAGATGAGTTATATTATACATATTCTAGGTGGATTACTTATTACTATGCTGTGCTTATGTGTTGTGAATTTGTTGTATTTTGGATCAAAACTCGCAATTTGTCTATTATTTTGCCGATATTTTTGTTAAGACATAATAATAAAAAGCATTTAATAGATGGTAATAATGTGGTGAACGTAGAGATGAGTCCAGAATATTCAGTCACATGTAATAGCAGTCATAATGACCCTGAACATAAACCATTTATGGTGTGGACTGACCTTTCATACACTGCTAAGAGAAGTATATTTAGCAGAAAAAAGTTGATAATATTGGATAAAATCAGTGGTAGTGTTACCAGTGATTCACTCAATGGTTTGATGGGACCGTCCGGTGCGGGAAAGACTACTTTATTGAAGTGTTTGAACGGACAGAGTATGAGTGGATTGAGCGACGAGTCGACAATCCGTGTGACGAACGGCAGGTTTCGGACGTGTTTTATACAACAGGATGTATGCCATCATCTGATGGATGGGCTGACTGTCAGACAGACTCTGGTCTACGCCTCGCGACTGAAGAACTCGCGAATTAGCGCTCATTTGGATCACCGGATGATAGCCTCGGAGTTGATGTCTTCGCTGGCGATCAGCGATACGGCGGNACGCCTCGCGACTGAAGAACTCGCGAATTAGCGCTCATTTGGATCACCGGATGATAGCCTCGGAGTTGATGTCTTCGCTGGTGATCAGCGATACGGCGGACAATAGGGTCGAGACGTGTAGTGGCGGCGAACACAAGAGGATTGTCATCGCCTGTGAACTCACGGCTCATATAAAGCCTAATATGCTATGTATTGACGAACCGACCTCTGGTTTGGACAGTAGTGCCGCTCTAGTGGTCAGTCATCTCTCATTAGGTATTCCTCGCTATTCAAGTGTTAACCCTATTTGTTGTCTGTCTTTCAGGTGATTAACTGTTTAAAAGTGTTGTCCCGAAGACATGGGATGACTATCATTGCATCCATTCATCAGCCGAACAACGATTTGTTTCACATGTTTGACAACATCTATGTGTTGGCCAAAGGAGGCCATTGTCTCTACGATGGAGTTCCCCATCAATTGAGACAACATCTCATTGATTGCGACATAACTGTTGACAACATCTATGTGTTGGCCAAAGGAGGCCATTGTCTCTTCGATGGAGTTCCCCATCAATTGAGACAACATCTCATTGATTGCGACATAACTGTCGGCGATAATGAAGTGCCGATTGAAGTGTTGTTGAAAATGGCATCAAAAGACAATACAAACAATAGTTCACAGGAATTGTCTGCAAATAATATGTTTAATACACCAATGAATCCACAAATGATTGCAAATTTACGTCCAATTAATGGCAACCAAAATATGTCCAAAAGGTTTAGTTTTATAGACTTATATTATCTGCTCTCCAGTTCCCTGACCTACACATTCCGGTGCCAGTGGTTGTCCCTCTTGTTGCTGTTCTCAACGTTTCAAATGTTGGCGCTTATCATGAAATCGCATTACCCGGCCAATATGATAGAGCCGGACAGTTGTATGGAACTGGAGTTCGGCGCCGACTGTAACCAAACAGAGGTTGATATTGAAGAGACGTCGCTAATCAAGCAAAATATTAAATACAACGTATCCATGTTAACGTGCTTTGGGTTTATAGTAGCCATTGTAATGTCAGTCACATTTGGTACCGATTATAAAATTTTTCGCAATCATCAACGAAACGGTAGTTAAGGCTATTTCATAACCTCTAGCAATAGGCGTACTGGCTAATTAAATTGCTTATGATTTTAAAAATTCAGTATTTCAATTTATTAATTAATCTTTACAGTAGCTGTTCAAATAATCTTTCATTTATAGAGCATAATAATAATTTTTAATGATTCAAAATATTAGCATTATTTGAAGTCTAAATTAAAAATATTTAGTGTAATTAAATATTAGGAAAATATATACCTAAATGCTCAGGAAGAATGACATGCTTATATCACTATTTAAATATATATATATATAAGTTTACAACCCTGGTCATTAAATGCAATGCAAGCATTTAAATGCAGGGCTAAGTATAAAAAGTATGGGTAAAATGCATGATTCCTAACAATGTTATCAATAGTAAGCATTAATTCAATTGTTGCGGATTATACTGGAGTAACAATTGACTTTTCCCTGAGCATTGTGATCTGTCTTTTTTTAATAATTAATTACACTAAATATTTTTAATTAAAGTTTCAAATAGTGTTATTTCAAAGTACCATGTTTGTTATATTACTTCATGTGTAACTAAATATTACATCTACTTAATTTTATATACAAAACAATTACTAATGATACATTTTGTTTTCAGGCTGGTATAGCACAGGTACCTATTTATGGACACGCACAATTGTGGACATGGTACCAATTGTGTTAGCATTGCCGTTATTCTGTTGGATTATTAACTTATACAATACGACCCAATATTATGTCTACTCATTTGTGTTCAACATTTTACTCGTCGTATGCGTGCAAAGTGTATCCCAAATATCTTCACTACTATTCATGAAGGAGCCCAAAGTGGCCATGATGTTTGCCATACTGACCCAGGTGGTGGTCCTCATACTCAGCAACAGTCTCTTTCCCGTCAAAGAACTTCATTACGCCCTCCAAGTGTTGAGCAGTTTATCATATATGCGATACGCCTTTGAATGTATCGTTTTACTCATCTATGGGTTCGGCCGGTGCTCTCACAACCAGATGTCCACCGTTTTGTACAGTTTGGATATCGACGAGAATGTGTTCTGGCACAATTTGCTCAATTTGTGTGCACTTTGCGTTACACTCAAATTGACGGCATTTATGTTTATTTGCGTCAAAACGCATCAATTTCAACGAACAAATGTTAAGCATCAAAATGATCAGGACATTTCTAAAAAACTAATGTTTAAACATGAAATTATATGATTTTAATATGCGATTTAATTCTATTTTTAAAATCACTAATAATTTTATAAATGGAGTGCTATTTGTTGAATAAACCTCATGAACATACACTACAGTACTTCAAACACTGGTATATGTAATCATATCACTTACACAAATAATAACATACTGTTTGAAGCTCACAATTCAATAACGAACTAATTACATTTATTGTATTTTTTGTTTATAAATTTTTGCTAGTAGTTAATTAAAACTTAAATAAAGGATTTATTTTCATTATTTATATTTAGATTAAACTAATAATCATATTTTTAATTAAATATTTATGTTTTATAAAAATTTATAATAAAATTTAATGAGTCTAATTTTTATTCACAATTGGAAAATCTATTATATAGTTTGTGTGTTGATTACAGTTTACATTTTGTGATAACTAGCATAACATAATTTTAGACATAAACATAAATAAATCACATTTATTATTGTTTTAATTATTAAATTCAATAAATAAATATTAAATATTTTTTCTTTACCCGTTATTTATGATCAAGGTAAATAACTTATGGCTATTCTTTAATACAGATATAAAAATTTTATTACCCCTGAACATTTTGGTATACTTATTGTTAAAGTTGATTAATATTTAGTATTTTTAATTAAGGAAATAAATAGTTTGTTTATAACTGATCACCGTTTATATAAAAGTTACAATCAAACAAACTTACGATTACTAAATTCGGACAAAAATATTCTCATATCATTGCCATAACTATTGCAAACACTCGTGATTTGAATCCATAGGGTAATCATTATTGAAAAGAAAAGATACGTTTGGTTTTGGTTTAAAATCACTTTCTGATCCTCAATCTCAATACATGTCTGGTTCTGGGATTGTGTCCAATGCGGTAGACATCCGTCGAGTTGACCGATATTTTCATTAAAACACTTTACGACAAATATATTAACTCCGATGAAAATTAGCAATTGTTTGCATATACTCCTAATATTGTTGATATAATCTCGGTGTAAAAACCTAATTAATAAATACCAGAAATCTATTACTATTAGAGATTTTTCTTTGCTTTTTATCCCTGTTTTCATTGCAATCATATTCTCTGTATTTACTGTCAAT